GCAAGAAATTCAGTGATTTGTGGTGGCATCATGCATGAGATGCGTGCCAATTGAAAGTAGGTTTAGAGGAATTATAAAAAAAGGTATTGAAAATGCCAATCAATTATCTTTCAATTGAATGCAATTTTCATCTGGGAATCTTGTTCTTGTGTCCTTAAGATTTGTTTCCCTTGATTTCTTTTCCGTCGATCTTGTTTTCCGTGCTGAGTACCAATGCTACCGACGCCAGGGAGGCAGCTCCCACACCTGGACCCTACCTATCGACCCAACAACTCATGAACCGGGGACCAACGGCTTTACATCCCTTCAGTGTGAGGAGGGTAATCCACTTGGGATGTATATAGATGTAGAAATGTAGAAGCGGTGTTCTGGGTGGTGGGTAGATAATTCATTTTGTATGTACAATTTGCTCGTAATTTAGTGCTTTAATGATAGTACTATAAGTTCTGGGCCGCAACATCACCGGGCCCGCTGAAGCGCAGCATTCAAGAAGAGTTGGTGGTGACGGTTTCACAATCGTATGCCTTCGTTGGATCCTGATCTTCGATGGGGAGGACGCATAGTTCATATGTTGCAAGGCGTCGAATACCTAGTAGCGTACGCGCACGATGTTGTCACTTCCGGGATAGATGGCCACAACTCTGCCAAGGGGCCATTGCATCGAAGGGACGTTATAATTCTTCACCAAGACCATGGTCCCGACGTGAAACTCGGTTGGAGACTTCCTCCACTTAGCTGCCCGTTGGTGGAGCCCGATGTATTCGTGGACCAACGCTTCCAGAGATTTTGGACGAAGCGTTGTGTGGCCTGGAAATGGTTGAAACGATTGGTCGGCACCTGAGAAAGGTCTGCCTTCGGAAAATGAAAGGGGGCCTCTCCTAGCAAGAAATGGCCGGGTGTCAGGACGGAGAGATCCTGCGAGTCGTTGGAAAGAGGCGTCAACGGTCTGGAGTTCAGTATACATTCAGCTTGGGAAACAACTATGCGCATATCGTCGTAGTGGTGTAGAGCTGCTCCGATGATCTTCCAGAAATGCCGCTTGAAGGCCTTTACTGCAGCCTCCCATAGGCTGCCGTCGCATCTCCATAACTTCTTGCCGCGCTCCAACGAACGTAGTGCTGTTGTCGCAGAGTATTGTACGAACACGCCCGACACGACTGGCGAAGCGCCTCAACGAATTGACGCACGACAACCCGGTGACGATGTCGAGGACTACGGCTTTTACGGCGAAACAGACGTACACTACTACCTGCCTCTACCTGCCAACGGTCGAACAAAAAACGGCCAACAGTAATCCAGAACCGTATGCTCGAATACTTTCGCAGCAGTGACACGGCTTGATGGTAGTGGAGCCATGCGCTGGTTGCTTGCTGGGGGATGAAAACGAAAACAAGTCACGCAATGGTGGACTGTCCTTCGAGCTAGATCTCTTCCGCGTATTGACCAGAAGCGCTGACGGATTGTTGCCAGGAGCTGTGTGGGTCTTGTATGCAGTGTTTGATGGTGAACGGAGTTGGCGATCAATCTTTAAAGGTGGTGGTCGGCCGGTAGTATGATCGGGAGGCGGCTGTCGAAAGATCCATGTGAGTTTGCTTGTGAGGTGCTCAATCGGAGAAGACCGGTGTCATCGATCCACACATCAAGGTCTTTTAATGGTGATTTGAAGTCAGCCTTTCCCAGCGCCATCCGTTCTTGATCATTGTGCCGCAGGTGACGCAGTTTCTGCTGGAAACATGCAGCTTGAGTAACGCGGATGAGTGACTTCAAAGTACTGTCGACCGGAGTGATTGGTCCCACTATACGAGACATCCTCGGCAATCGGCAGTTTTTTTTTGCGAAACGTTGACAGTATGAAGCAACTTGCATAAGATGCGACAGTTGTGAGTAATCATGGATTAGCGAATCGTCAAATGTGACACTTAGGAGTACAACCGTTTGCCGCTGCTCAGGTGCCTGCTGCTGAATGCCAGTAGACGTCAATGGAATTATCGGAGCTGGCCACGATTCCACTTCATTCAGCAAGTAGGACGGCCCATGCCACCACAGTGCATCGTTCTTGATATCATCCGGTTGTACCCCGCGAGATATACGATCGGCGGGATTTTCTAGGGTTGGAACGTGCCGCTACTAGGATCCTTGGGTGAGTTTCTGGACCTCCGCTACTCGGTTGGACACGAATATCTTCCAGGACGACGGTGGAGAATTAATCCAGTGCAAAACGATCGCTGAATCTGACCAGAACGTGACCGTTGGACTGATGCAAAATTTGACTTTTTCGCTCCACAATACTTAAACGATTCAAAATCGGATCCTGACTAACCTCTCCAAATTTGAACCCCTTTGGTGAGAAACTGAGATGGTACAAACCATTTGAAGTTTGTATGGGAATTACTATGGTAAAACCAAGATTTTTGTTCATGTCTATCTAATAATTCACCATATCGGTCTGCCTCAAAAACTTTCTACTGTACTTATAGGAAATTTTTCCAGCTACAACTTTGCTCGAAACTACTTTTTGATTAAATGCAAGGATCAAAAGTTATCAATGGTTCAATGCGCTGATGTCTAATGATCATGCTCAATCATTTGCTCAGCAGGCAACATTGGTGTTTCTGGGGCGTTGAATAGGACACAAAAATCATGGCTACTATGTCACACTGCAAAATACAGTGTTGCCTACAGAGCAGCTGCTTGATCATGTCATAAGTTTACCAATCTCTTGAATAATTGATAACTTTTTCCTGTCTCGTTTTACATAGAAACGATCTTGAGCAAAGTTGTAGCTGAGAACATTTTCTTTAATAATGGCTATCGAACTGTTTCGCAGCTCAATATGAAAAAAGACTAGAAGGCAATGAACAAAAAGTTGAGATTTCCCATAGTAATTTACATGTAAACTTCAAATGGCTTGTGCGAAGTCTGTTTCTAACCAAATGAGTTGTAACTTTGGGAGGCTAATCAGGACACGATTTGAAACCATTTAAGCACTGTGGAGCGAAAAAGTCAAATTTTGCATCAGTCTAGTGACCGTAGAGTCAAACTTGGTTGTTCTATGAATGGTATCAGCCAACTGGCTTTCGAGTACGACTGCACAGAGTTCCAACCGTGGGATGGAATAACCACATATTGGAGCAACACGTGATTTTGCTATGAGCAAATGGCTTGTTCGTTTAGTGGAAGGTCCTGTTGATACTGTGAAGGTGCACGCCCCATACCCTTTGGAAGAAGTGTCGACAAAACAGTGCAACTCGTAGCTCTTTGCACTCTCTTCGAACACCCACCGAGGGACACGAAGATTCCGAACGATACCAATTGCTGCTCGGAAGGACAGCCACCATGATTGCAGAACGTCCGGCAGCTTTTCGTCCCAGCTAAGTTTCTCCTGCCACAATCGCTGCACAAACATCTTCGCACTGGCCACCACTGGACCGACCAGACCCAAGGGATCAAATAACTGTGACATCTCCGATAGTACCAGGCGCTTCGTAACGTGTGGTTATAAATTTTCGCGATGAATTGATTGTTCCGTCGGAACGCAATCACTGTCCGGGACGTTATCCCGGGTTTCGGCACCAAATGTTCTTGCTTGAGTGCCGGAATCTGGCCGGCACGACGACAAAAGCGAAGTTGTGAACAACGGCGAAATTGTGGTTTCAATCACTGGGCGGACTAGCGCGAACCGATATAGTTTTCGGACGAGAGTACAGAAACTAGTCTGTCTTGCTTTGTAGTTCTTATGTAACTGATTTATTCGTCGTGTTCAGTATGAGGTGGAGGGTAATCCATTTGGGTTGTATATAGATGTAGTGTTCTGTGGGGAAGCTCAGCATTCAGCATGGGATCAATAGACGGCGGAGCAGCTGCTACATCGTCACATAGTGGTTCCTCCGTCCCACTAGAACAGAATCGAACACAGAAATCGAACAATCAACAAATACAGCCACAGGACCTTCCATAAGCTCATTCCCTATCACAAGCACAAATCCACACCCACCACCCATCACAAATTGTACTCCCTCAATAGACACACACTCATTACCTGTCATCATGCACACTGCATCACGCCAAGTCCTGTTGTCCACCGTCTGTGTGCGTAACGAACCAATATGGAAATGTGCAACTCGCAAAAGCCTTGCTCGATTCATGCTCCGAGTACTGTTTTATTTCGAAGAACCTTTGCAAAAAACTCAAGCTGGCAGAAACTGCCAATCATCTGTCTATTGCAGGCATCGATTGTTCTTGGACAAAATCATCGAATATGGTGAATACGACAGTACTCCCACGGTCGCTCAATATATCTCCGTATTCGGAAAACATTCAACTGCACGTTCTACCGAAACATGCTACCAATTTACCAACCAAGTACATCGATGTTCAGCAACTATCGATTCCCCAGCACTTGGCTCTAGCGATCTACGATCTACTGGTTGATGGTAGAATTAAGCTTTTCGATGAAGGGCCACATTTCAAGAAACAGTCTTCGGTTGGGTTGTATCTGGATGTGTACCTAGACCTAGACGTTCTTCAATATAATCGTGGACTGCGTCGCATCCTTGTACTGCACCAGGAATAATTGACCAAATTTTGGGAACGGGAATCCTGCAACAACAGAAGCACGCTGTCTGTAGAGGAACCGATGTGCGAAGAAATCTTCGAGCGAACTACTACACGGAATGAGGATGGTAGATTTGTAGTTGCACTCCCAAAAAAGGAAGCTGTGATCCAGCACCTTGGAGATTCAAGAACCAGTGATCTTAAACGTTTCTATGGGCTTGAGCGTCGGTTCACATCGTTTTTTTTTTTTTTTTTTTTTTTTTTTCCTTTATTAGAGAGATTTTTAGCCTACGGCTAGTTCATTTCTTTTAAAATTACAAAAAAGAATTGGGACCTCAAAAGGAGGATCCCAATCTTGGCAAGTGGGCATTTAGCTTAATTATATAAAATATTGTAAAAACACTACCAAAAGGGCCAACGAATTCAAAAGCACAAACAGAAAACACTCAAATGTTGTAGAAAAGATTCGCCTCCTTCAGGAAGGCGATGAGGGCGTCTGCTGCCGGGGACTCGTCGCCAAGCAGACTTCGTATGCTGGTTCCCTCCAGACCGAAGGCAACCCGAAGGTCCTCGAGCTCCACACAGTTGATGAGGATGTGTTCTACGGAGGCTGGCACTCCGCAGGTTTCGCAGGTTCTCCGGAACGGTGTTCCTCCGAAATTATGGGAGGCCCTGCTATGCCCGGTGCGCAGCCTGGACACCACTTGCTGCTCCTTGAGGCTCGGTCGATCCTTCCAGGGATCGGTGGTCGCCTTGATTTTTCGTAGTTGGTGAGTTCGATTGTTCCTCCACTCGTTGTCCCACGCTCTCCGAACCGTCCGCTTAATCCATTTCTTGATGTCCTGGAACGGAACATTGTCAGAGAACCTGGGTCCGATGGGGCCTGAGCCGGCGAGGTGGTCGGCGATCACGTTCCCCTGGATGCCACAGTGCCCGGGTACCCACATGTATACGGTGTTGGGCGGCGCATGCGTTACCGTCCCTTGTATCCACGGATGCTTTGGTGCTTCATCGGTTAGGGCCATTATTGCGCTTTGTGAGTCGGTAACGATGAGGATCGGCTGATTGGCCGGAAGGGTGGTTGCGTGAAAGACGGCCGCTGCCTCAGCGGAAAACACCGAGCACTGGGCCGGAAGTGAATTGCTGACGACCAAACTATCTCCTGAAACCCCCATTCCCACTCCGCTGCTGGAGAGCGAGCCATCGGTGTACCTGATTTCGTGATCTTGATAGTGCGCCCCGAGAGTTTCGACGACTGTCCGGCGCAAAGCCAGTGAGTTGTCTCCTGCTCTGAAGCGGTCCTTGATTCAGCTGTCGATTCTGATCTGATGTGATTGCCAACTTTTGTCTCCGTGCCAGTGGACCCTGGCCACTGGAGGGAGATCTACGTCGGCGACCGTGCGGAGGAGTCGGTTCGCCTCGTCGAGGAGAAAGATCCTGCTGTTTCCCGACGTTTTAGCGAGGAAGGCAGCGGCTTTGGTAGCGGTAGCTGCGGTGTAGACGAGCCGAAAAGGCAGAATACCGGCTTCAACGCACGCGGCGTCGGCCGGTGTGGAGGGCAGGAGACCGGAGACTGTTCTTACCTATCCGTTGTAGACCGGTTCCAAGATTTGGACGGCTTTCTCGGCGGCAAGGCACGTTAGTTCTACGCCGTACAATAGGCGACTGTCGATGATGGCTCGGGCTACTCGGAAGCGGATTTCACGGTTGTTGGATCGGTGGGGGCGGGAGATGGTCTTCATCAGGTTGGATAGACTACGACAGTCCTTCTTCACCTGTTGGAAGTGCGGCTCGAGGGATAGGTTCCGATCGAGGAGCACTCCCAGGACCCTTATACCTTTTTGGTCGGTATCGCTTGCTGTTTGATCATGATGGGCTGTCCGTTGTTCCGATGCCGGGTGGTGCATATATAGCAGCGCACGCTCTTGCCGGCGGAAAGCTGGAACCCAACGGAGTCAGCCCATCTGACCACCGAGGAGACTGCCGCTTGCGCCCTTAATTTCGTCCTCTGCAGGGTAGGGCCCACCGTTACAATGAGGACGTCATCCGCGTAGACGAAAATATATATGTTCTTGGGTAGCTTGTCGAAGACCCCGTTCATGGCCACCAGGAAGAGGGTGACCGCGATCACCGAACCCTGTGGTACTCCGGTTTCTTCGCTGAACCTTCTGGATTGGACGTTTCCGACCGACACCCGAAAAGATCGGTCGGTCAGAAAGTTTCGGACGAAGTGTAGGATGCGTCCTTTTAGTCCTCATTCGGCTAACTTCTTCATTACTGCTGGTGTCCACGTTCTGTTGAATGCTTTGGAGATGTCCAGCGAGACGATCTCCGTATGATTGACCGTATGGCCTTGGTCCTGTGCCTCCTTCAGGACTTCTCCAAGAGTGGCGAAGTAGGTGGAGGTACCGTACCCTTGCCTGAAGGCGTGCTGTCGATGGTCAAGCAGTCCCTTAGACTCCAGGTATTGCTTGAGCCTTCTGTTGACCATCCGCTCCAAGACTTTGGCCATGCAGCAGGTCAGCGCGATGGGGCGGAATCCTGTGACGTCCTTGGTCCCTATATTTGTTTTGGGGATCGGGATCACGAGACTTTCCCTCCATTTGTCCGGGTATTCTTCGTTGGTCCATAGCTGGTTGTAGAGTTCGAGCAATTGTGTTTTCCCTTCGAGCGGTAGATGCTTCAGCAGTGGGTATCCGATTTCATCCGGTCCGACCGAGCTCCGGCTAAGAGCGAACGAGAATTCTTCCCAGGAGAATGGTTGGTTGATCAGTAGGTCGTCGTTGTCTGTGGGAATTCCGAAAGTGGGCACCGAGGACAGCGAAGGACCGACTCGTCGTTGAAAACTTTCGCTGTACTCCGCGATTCCTGATAGTTTGGCGAAGTATTTTCCCAGTTCATCTGCTACGGCGTTTGGTTCGGTGATGGTAACGGTGTCGGCTTGCACTTGTAGCGGCGATGATCGCCGCTTGCCGCTGAGGGCATTGATGCGGCTCCACAGTTCTGCTGACGATTGTTCGGCGTTGATGCTTTCCAGGAAATCCGACCAGCTATTTTGCTTCGCCGTCCGGATTTCCTGTCGGCATTTGTTGTGCTGCTGGCGATAGTTTGCGAGGATTTCCTCCCTCGCAGGGTCGTTCGTAGAGGTTCGCTTGAGTTCACGGAGTGCCTTCCGCCTGGCTTTTACAGCACTTTTCGTGTCTTCATTCCACCATCGGAGTGCCCTCCGCCCGGGAATACTGCCTGTTCTTGGGATGTTGGTGCTGGCTGCTTTGTGGATGACTCCCGTGACACTTGGGATGTCCGTAGGTTCTTCAGTCTGCGCGAGAGTTCGGTAAGAGAGCTGATAGCCCTCCCAGTCGGCTTCTTCATACCGCCACCGTGGTCTTCTGGTGTTCTCCGGTGCCATTGCGGCGGATAACCGGATCTGTACCGGATAGTGGTCGCTGCCGTGCAGATCCGGGTTGATGCCCCATAGCATTTTGCCCGCTAAGGAGTGGCTAACTGCGGACACGTCGATGGCGGTGGTGTGCCGTCCGTTAAAGAACGTCGGGCCCCCGTCATTTAGGATGACTAAATCTTCCTCCTCAAAAATATCGCAGATGGTGACCCCTCGTGGGTCAGCTCTTGGACAACCCCAGGCTGCGGTTCACATCGAATAGCACATCGAAAGATCTATATTGTGACTTCATCGACGAGTATTTGTCGATGGGTCTTATGCCATATCATTATCTACGCCCAAACCAGCCATATGACAGTTTGGGTGTAAAAACGTAACCGCTGGCGAAGATGATGATGATGATGATGATGATTCCACCGAACCCATCTATGGGCGCATGTACCTTCCTGTTGGCCATTATTCTGTTGTTATCATGGAAGGCTACCTGTGAAGAAATATGCTTCTCGTTAGCTTCCAGTCAGTCTCAGCAGGCCTTGCGCGTGGCCTACCTCATTCAGCCAACTGCGATAAGATTCCCGTTTTATTGTTCTTTGAAAGTGCGGAATTCCTCGCAGCCGCTATAGCAATTGATGTTTACAAATTTTCTTTTCATTCCAACGCCTATCATAAATTGCAATTAATCGTCAGCCGCATCACAAAGTGCAGCAAAATTCCAAGTAAGCCCGAGCGAAGGACCTGCGGTAAAATCGCAAAACAGTTCAGTGTTTTGCCCATTACCATGGTCGTCAGTGCAAGCCCAGTTCGTTTGGGTTGAATTGAAATTCGAGGAGTAGGACGAGACAATGGAATTCCCATCGTACATTTCATTCCCATTCTCCTCGGACGGTTGATGATGACGACGATGACGATGCTGGCCCTGACTGAGGGGTGGTCGATTAATCCGAAGCTAAATGGCATCCTACGTACGGGGCTGGCTCTGATTGGTAGCATCTGGCAGTTGTGATTGTGTGATTTATTGGCATCAGGTCAATTGGAATGCATTTCCGGTCTGCCACCTACCGAAAGCAAAACATTGCATACCCGTCCGTCTGCAAATAGGGAAGTGCATAATGCTGCATTATGAGCACGGATTTATGGTAGCAATTGAGCAGAATTGATAATTAGACTCCTGATTAGAATGTTTGAATAGAGTGACACACCAGTCCAGTGCGGTGGCCGGCAGTCAGTGTCAGTGTGTTAGATTTGTGTGTTTAATCCTGTTTAAAAACACATTCTCTGGCATGGCATACAGAAGAAGTCAAACCAGATTCGGATCAATTCATTCAATCTGATGCTAGAAGAATTTGATTGGAAGTGATCCGCTTTTGGATTGGGAGCTTATTTAGTTGATTTAAATCGAACAAAAGTGCACGGAACTAAAACGTATGTTTTTTTTTTTTATGAAGTATACTTAATGATAGTTCCATTAACATTAGAAAAATCATCTAAAAGCTATGGGAATTTCAGACGACCAGAACTACGGAGAAGTTTAAGTATGAGGTTCCAATAGTTTCAGCGTAGTTCCATGAATTTCAGGGAAATTCCAAGAACTGTGGCGCGGCAAAGTAAAGCCGTTGGTCCCCGGTTCATGAGCTGATGGGTCGATAGGTTGGGTCCAGGTGTGGGAGCTGCCTCCCTGGCGTCGGTAGCATTGGTACTCAATACGGAAAACAAGATCGACGGAAAACAAATCAAGGGAAAAAAAACGGAAGCCTAGAGAGCAAAGATCTCTGATCACCTGATGGTCTATATTTTCGGAGCCACCTTGCGCCATGAATATTCTCTCAGAGATGTGGTTTTTATTGATGAACAGATTGAGATCTTCATTGCAATAGTACCTGATCAACCTGAAGTCTTGAAAAAATATCCAGACGACTTTATGAAGATCTAAAAAGGACATAGGAATAATTCCTAAGCTGCCGTATTTCTAAGCAAGAGATGCGATATGGGTTATGGTATACTTGGATATATTTAGAATTAATTTGAAATCTTTGGAAAACATCCTACAGTTTTCATGGAGATCTCTTATCACTTGGTGCTATTTTAAATAATGTCTGGGCATTCTGTAATCTCTGAGAATACATTTGACATGCGAATTGAATTGTTGGGCAGTTGAAGATCTTCAGAATGATACCTGATCAATCTGAAGTCGCAAACAAATATCTTGAGGGTATTTTGGAGATTTTTGATCACCTGGAGGCCTTTGAAATAATTTCTGAGCAATCTGCTATTTGAGAGATGTGATTTGAATTATTATACAGATGAAGATCTTTAAAATGATACAAAAGTTTTGAAAATATACCCTCATTATCTGCTTGACCATCAATCTGTACAGTCCGATTTTCTTTTCGCTCGCTCTCTCGAGTCGTTCGGTGTTTTAAGTCGGTCGTTTGGTCGTGGTACCCGTCGCGAGTTTTCGCTTTGGCTAGCAACGTGTCGTCAGTTCTCGCCTCTCTTGTGGCAGTCGCTAAATCGGTGGTAGTGGAGCAACAATTGAATGCCTCCACTCACCCGTTGAAAAACACTAGGTGATGGGTCGCCAAAGTTTGGATGCAACCGCATCCGTTCAAGATGCCCCGAAAAGGCCTCGCAAGAAAGCTGGTGCCTGCAACCACACGGAAAGGTTGCTTCAGAGTAATCCGTTCTCGGCACTCCCCGAAGAAACAGGTATCGATCCAGTTGAGAACAGGGGAAAAGTGCCCCCACTGTTCACCTCGACGAAGGAACTCGCGTTGC